TTTTTTTTTTTTTGCGACTGCTGCCATTTCTCTTCTTGCCTCAATTGTGTTTTATTCTGCCGTAGTGGGTAGCTCGAGTGCCATATGCTCATCGGTTGGTCACAAATCGCTCCGTCGGCTGTGGCGGGTTCTCTGTTCGGGGTGGCACTGATACTTCTCGTTGATGGCATCATGACGGCACAGGGAGAGACAGACAAGGCGAACCACGTGACCTTTACATTGCTTCTTCCTGCGTTCCTCTCAGTAGTTGGTTTCTTTCTCATGATTCTCATTTCCCCAGTTGAGGTAAAGAACGACGTTCCGCGTGCCAAGGCTGTGCTTTTCATTGGCTGGGTTGTGTGCTTCGGCTCTGCTGTTGGTGCTCTTGTTCTCTGTAAGTCCAAATTTGCAGGGATGCAGGAGAGGGAACGTGCATTCCCCGGTGTGGCACTGGTCGGCTTCACCAGCCTGGTGCCGCTTTCCGGCGCCATACTTTGGTGGGGCAAGCAATCCTCTCTCGATGAGTATTAGGTGGAGGGGAAAAACCAGCCGAACACCTGTGTGTTTCTCTCCGTGTGTGTGTGTGTGTGTGCGTGCTAACGGCGACGCTCCCTTATTTGTTGTGGGAGAATGTTGGAATACTTGTCTCTCTGCCTCTTTGCTACCTTCCGTATCGTAGTTATAATCATTCCTGACAGAAAGCCCCCCCAAAAAAAACAACCACAAACAACAACACGATATATATATATATATATATTCAGACTACGACGAATATAAGAAAAAAAAACCAGAAGCAAAGGATACGAAGCAAATAGGCGTATGGTATGCCATGCGCCCAATAAGATCAGCGGCCGCTCTTGTTAAATACTGCCGGTGCTTTGATAGCTCCGCCAGATTTGGAAAGGAGCTTGGCTTCGGCCACAAGATGCGCGACATACCCGTCCTCACAGGGAACCCGCGACCCGTTGCAAAGGAGGAAGGGTGGCGCTGCGCCTACAAGCTCACAGACTCTATGGAAGATGTTGTTAGAGACGTTTTGAAAAAGGATGGCTGGAGCGACATTGAAGTACAACGTGAGATGGAGCAGATCTTCGAGAGGAAATCGCACGCGATCCGCTCATCCCTTAATACGTGGACGACCGTGGAGGAGTTTCAGCGCACTCCTTGGTACCGCCGGTACAAACCGACGGATACTTGTGCGGCCAAGTACATCTCATACGAGGCGATCAAATTACTGGAGAGCGCCTTGATTCCCCCGTCGCTAAGGACGGATCCATACGCTCATCTACGCAAGCGCCACATGGAAGATAACTGGATGAATGATAAATTCTCTGAAGAGTCTGCGATGTACATTAAACGAGAAGATTTGTTGAAGCAAACACGAGGTCTCCCGGAATACGGAAAGATAACGAGACGAAAGTTTTTAGAGTTCGATAGGAAGTTCAAAACGTCTTACGGCGCAAAACAGCATGTGAATGAGTCGTATGCTGCGTGGTTGCAGTCTCTGAATGGTAAGTAAGGACTTGTATACATACCCATGCCAATGAATCTATCGAGAAGCCAGTTACTCCTTTGCGTATACCTTTTTTTTTCGGTTGTTTTGACTTACCTTTTTAAAATATCTTTTATCCCATGGTTTGGTACGTCTTTTTTTTTTGCCGTGACATCACATTGTTACCTTGACGTCTTTTTCCCCTCTTTTGTATGCTCCTTTGAACCGAGATTGGGGTTAAGATGCCATCAAAGAAACCGGACGCCTTTTCGCAGTCGCGAAGAGACAGGGGGGAGGCAAACAATTTGCGCACCGACACTGATGACGAGTGCTTGGTAGCGAATAAACGTTATCAGGATGTGGAAGAGCGACGATTAAAGGAGTGGGAAAATTACCAACGGAGCCATCGCTCCACGGAGGAGCAGCAGTCATCTCGGGCCTTTCTAGATGTGTCAATTGGTGACGTTCTTGCTGGGCGGCTAGTGCTGGAGCTGTTTGAAGATACAGTTCCAAATACCGTGAACAATTTCAGGGCCCTTATTACGGGGTCATGCGGAATAGACCCCCTTACTAACGTTAAGCTGGACTACCTTGACACCCCAGTCCACCACGTGGACCACGCCAACAAGATTGTGGTTCTAGGTGAGCTAGATTCGTTTAACATTTCTTCTACTGGAAAACCAGTAGAAGATGAGGGTTACCGCCAGCGACACTCGGAGCGAGGCCTGCTCACCATGATTTCCAACGGGCCACATACAAGTGGATCTATCTTTGGCATTACACTCGGGCCGTCGCCGTCGCTCGATTTCAAGCAAGTTGTGTTTGGAAGGGCTGTTGATGATCTCACGCTACTGGACAAATTAGAGACCCTTCCTCTCGATAGTGTTGGCCGCCCACTCGTGCCAGCTGTAGTCACCTTCTGCGGCGTTTTGACAGGGCTGAAGCCTACAGGGACGTGGCCTCCTGTCAGGGTGCAAAGCTAAAAGGCATGAAGTGACAGACACTTCTGCAGGAATGCAAAGAATTTTTTATTTCGAGACACTTCTTGCTTTTAATCGAGGCGGAGCAATCTCTACCTCCTGTGTATAGGTGAATGTACCTTTAATTTGTGCCGATCAAAAGGCTTTTGTTTTATTTGTCCTAATCTCATGTATTGTTGCATTTTCATTGTACCGTGATGCAAACACACACACACACACAAACACACACACACACACAAACACACATACACACCCAAAGAAAAAAAAGATGAAGAAGAACGAAATTTGCGGTTTTGTAACGTTACTGCCTGAAATGTTTTGGGGCAAGGCTCTCTTTTGACTGGACATATGCTTTTTTGTTTCCTTGATAACTCTTCTTCTTTTTTCGTATGTCAAAAGCAGTGTTGCATGGGGTCACTGAGGACTTTTCCCTTGGACCCTAGTGGTCTTGCGGCAATGCAATACTTCATAGTGGCTCTTCAGTTGGTAATGACTGACGGATGCGACAGATGAAAAAATGAGTGGGACCACTTTCAATGCGAGAGAGCGGTTGTGGATCATTTGCGGAATGGGATTTGGAGTGCGCATTGCAGGCTGGCGGAGGGACTTTGAATAAATATATCGGGGGCACATTTTGAGATCAAGTCTTTGTTTTGTGGATTTGGCGGCGCTTTTTTTTGGAGGGGGGGAGGTGTAGCTTGATGGAGGGGAAGAATGACACGCCAGATGCTGCTGTTTTTTTTTTGCTTTGTTGATCGAGACCCAACGCTTGCACATGTGGCGTTTGACTTACTTCGCCGTGGGCGTGTGGGTTTGGGTCTCTACAATGACACTCAGACTGCCCGTACCAAGGATGTTGCGTGGTTCTTCATGGTGGGCAGTCTCGTAGGACTGATCAATTATCGCATGGCCCAGTGCCCCTCTTTGGCGCCCTCTCGCTTGATCAGCAAAGATCGATTAATATTTACAAGGTTACTTGGGCTTTCTTCCTCCTTGAAGAAGCAGTCTGCGCCTTGCTTGCATCCTCATGGGCCCATTATTGGTATCTATTTTTCCCTCCTCACCTTTTTGTTGTGGAAGTGTATTTTATTGCCGATACATAATTATGAAGAGAGCATCCATATCTCGGGTCAAACGCATGCAGATTGCTCTTATCCTCTCACTGCTTCTAAATGCAGTGCTTCTAGGGCTGCTTTTTGTGCAGAGAAGTGACCGAACAGATTTTGCTGAGTTCGGGGGGGTGCCAGCCGCAATACCACCGCCCAGTGGAGGCGCAGACGCCAGTATGCGCAGAGGTGAGGATGGGTGGGTGGGTATACTCGAACGTGTTTCCTCCCATACACGTAACACCAAGTATAGCCCAGAGGAAGATGCGCTACTCTTTACGCATCCGAACCGATACGCTCGCAGTCCCGTGCCAAAGGGATCATGGAAGGTTCGTGTGGCACCGGATCGCATCTTAACCATGGATGAAGTTGCCTTTGCATACGATATTTGGTTCGAAGAGAACAGGGTATTCTCAGGTCTGAGTTGGCTAGGGGTACACATGCAACAAGACCCTAATGATGCTATAGTGATCCAAGACATGTTGTGGCGTGTAAAGCCGGATCTGATCATTGAAGTCGGAACAAACACAGGTGGTGGTGCTATCTTCTACGCCACGGTAATGAAAGCGTACAATCCTCAGGGGAAAATAGTTACTCTCGATGTTAAACCGGTAAGCAACTGGCTAAACTCGCAGACAAGTGCAAAGTGTGTTGGATGCATCTTGGGAACAGAACACCCTTGGTGGAATGATGGCATGATCAACTTCATTAATGGTAGAATAACGAGCCCGGAGATACAGGCAATTGTTGATCGTTACGCGGCCAATGCATCTACTGTTGTCGTGATCGAGGATGCCTCCCACCGGTACCCAGACACGCTCTTGAATCTTAACGCTATTCACAAGTACGTAACCCCCGGATCATACCTTCTTGTGCAAGACACAAAAATGGATCGCTTTGTTGCTGCGGGAGGCGCCAAGTATGGCAACTACCGCTACGGGCCGATGCGCTCAGTTGACGAGTTCCTTTCAAAGCGCAAGGAATTTGTGGTTGATAGACGTTTCGAATACTTGCTCTATTCACAGCATCATCGTGGATTTTTGAGAAAACTGAAAACAGAGGAAGCCGTTTGATGCCTTCTTTTTGATGGTTTTCTTGCGATGTCTGGGCTTACCCCCACTATTCACCATTGTCAAGCAGCGGATATTCAATAACCTTTGCCGTGCTATTTGGCCTTTTGAGGAAATATTCTCTTTTATTTTCCTGCCATTATTTGATATATATATATATCAAAAGAGGAAAGTCATCATTGTTCCTTCCTGGTTAAGGTAAAGTGATTTAGAAATGGGTATTTAGGGCGTTGCCTTCGTGACACTTCCCCTGCTGGCGTTAACTTGTCGTCAGCTTTATTTGTACACGGTGTGCTTCGAAGCATGTTGTTGCTGTTGTCTCGTCGTTGGCCAAAGTGGCAAGATTCACCGCACCAAATCAGCTGCACAGGCGGCAGCAGAGGAGGTGAAACAAGGCAGAATGGAGAGAGATCGAGGAGCGTATAAACCATGTGGGACCAATTCCCCGCCACATTTTTACTGGAGGTGCTTTCAGTAAGTGCGTCAACGAGGTTGAATGGGCGTTGAATGAAATCACCCAAACAAACGCTGAGACGTACAGGAGGTTAAATAGTAGCACTGTCTCGCAAGGGGGGGGGCCTGTGTCACAGGCTTGTGAAAATCGTACGGGGCAATGAGTGTTCCAAATCCAAGGTATGCCACAACGAGCCACTTTCACAAGCAATATTCGTGGATATAATGGCTCGGG